TGAGCCAAATAACAGTTTTTAATATAGGTAATAGCATTGTACGAAAAGAAAAAAAAAAGATGTAGAAAAAAGACGATTCTGCCCACCACAGGTAGGCAACCGACGCGAATGGGTAGCCGCGGAAGTGGTGGGACACACAGGGTAATTTAGTTTGTGTAATGTATACGTAACGATAATAAATCATTGAAAATGAAAAATCACGATTTAGAGCGGAGAAAATATGTGAGTAGTGTTTTTTTCCCTTGCCGCCAAGGTAACCCGAAAATCAACAAAACATCAAACTTACTATTTTTTTTTTTTTTCAATAGTTAACATCAGATTTTAACGAATAAAACGAAACTACCTTTCAAATTATTTATAGGTATAAATGAACTTTGCTTTCAGTTGATATTTATACTCCAGAAGTGGAAAACTTTGATGTTTTACTCTTCGAGCTTAAGTTATGGATGCACAAAATGTACGGATTTAATAATGTGCCGAAATCAGCTCTCCGAGCTCTTTCAGAGTTTACCCAACAAACAATCCACCCCCCTCCCTCCCCAGAACAAAATCATAACTACACCGCTGTACGTTCCGAGATAACGACGTTATTTCATTACTCTAGTGCCTACATACATATATATATATATATATACAAGGTGATCAGTCTATCACAAGAGACTAATTATCTCGGAAAGTATTAACTTTTTTTCGGAATAAGTTTTACAGAAAATTTAAAATCGAGATTATAGTTCTACAATTCTACGGAAATCGTGAATTTCAACACAAAAATGTATTTTTAACTAATACTCCATCGGTTTATGGAATCAATTTTATTATACGTTATCGTTTGAAAATCAAAAGTGGTGGTTAGTGGTTTTACCCCCGAAAATAAGAGCGACGAGAAATAACGTAAAATCGTAGAAGCGCTCGTTTCTATAAAACATATTCGGAAAAAAGTCAACGCATCCTGAGATAATGAGCGTCTCGCGGTGAATCGATCACTAGGGCTCGGAAGTTATAGAAGTCGCACGTTTTTCTACGTGCGCTGGATTTATAGCGGACCAAGCTTGGAATTCTTACCGTACGGTGCACCGCGATGGACAGTTTAAAAACCGAACATTTACCATGCGTGTTTCGTTAATTTTTAGAGAAACAGTGCAACAGTCTCATCGATTTTCATCGATTTTCGCAGCATATTCGTACGCGTATTATTTGATATTTGTTTTAAAAAAAAAAAAAAAATTGATTTCCCATCTCAACCGTCGCGTTTTAAATAATATCGAATACGAAAAACGTAGTCGTTCATTGTCCCTACCTTGTCCTATCTTCCCGACGTCCCGGCCCACAGCGGCGGCCATTATCCTAGGACGGCCACTTTTCGCGCATGTTTCACGATTCCGTCGCGAGCACCTGTAAACCCCGAGCCCTGTACGTTTACGATACGTTGCCGTTGACTTTACGGTCCGCGGGGCCGATGTATTTTCGAAAACGCGGCGGCCGGGGAACGGCTCGCCCGCGACGATAACTCCGCGGCGGCGGCGGCGGCAGCGTGCAGAAGCGCGAAATTTCATTACCGCGGTACAATGTAAAACGCGGCGCGCACGTTATTATGATAATACGCGGGCGCGTGCGTGCGCGCGTTATACTGTCATGATACAACGCGTAACGTCTGGCGGCGGACCACCGCATTTCGCACACACGACACCGACATAGCCGGTAACCTCTCCCGGCTGACAAATCGGTCGTCATTTATACGCGCGCACGCAGAAACGTCGCGCATCCCGCACGTTACGCATCCGCTCCCGCACCCCCCTAGTTCGCCGCCGCCGCCGCCGCCGCGTCCCGATCCCAAATGAAATTCACCATTTATTGCGCGTTCCCCCACCCCCCCGCCGCCGCCCGCGGATAATATTAATATGCGCGCGTATATTATATTATAATACGGGCGGCCGTCGCCCGTGTGTTGCAATTTCGCTAATGGCACCGGCGTAACGGCGCCGCGCGCAGACCGTGTGCCGCGCGAGCCCGCGCCGCCGATCTCCCGCTTAACGACGTCCCATAACTGTCAATGCGCACAATGACGTCCCGGTCCGCGGTGCCGGGCGGCGTCCGCCGGGGCGGGCGAGGTTAAATATTTCCGAAAACGAAAATGAAAAAAAAAAAATTTATAATCCGCACGTCCCCGAAACCCATTCCGGGCGTCCGGCGCGATGACCGGTCCCGTCCGTACACCTAACCCGGTAAATCGTCCGCCGTTATTGTAATTCGTTATCAACGGCGCCTCCGACGCGCGCACGTACGCCGGCCACGGTCGCATTAGGGATCGTTTTCGAAACGATATTTCGCCCGACGCGCGTTACCGCCGTGCAGCGTTGTGTGTCGCCCGAGCGTCGCGAACGCGTCCGCGGCGAGAAATCAATCGCGCGCGGCGCCCGTTTCCGAAAGGGTTGGCCGGCGGGGGGTGGGGGTAGGGTGTAGGGGTATTGCCCCTGAATGTGTGTTACCGCCCTACCGCCGAAAACGCGCGGTACCGCGATGAGTGCACCGCACACGTTGCGATGTGACACGAGTTGTGCGTGGACAAATTGTGGACAATGGAATTTTTCAAAAAAAAAAAAAAAAAAGCCGTCCTAGGATGACGGGGGGACGGTCGCAGCCGCTGTTCCGGGTGAGAAGTAGACGGAGCAGTGTAGGGGATGTTCAACGTACGTCTTCACGCAACGATTGACCATCGCTAACGTAAAATAACGATTCCGAGCGGATGTTCGGTTGGTAGCGTTCCTTTGTCAACGATACATATGACATGCTATGGTAAAATAATTATACATGCATTATGTATAATTTTCTCTAATAACATTCGTTTAATATTGTACCGACGTTATTCTTAAGTTTTTCCCGTTTTTTTTTTCCTTTCGGAAAAATCAAAAAAATGACCTCCTTAAAGTCGCGCCTCGAGAAAATTTCCTTTCAGAAAACGGTCCGCATTGAATTCATCGGAGCAAGATTTCTGGTAGAATTTTTCGTACACAGTATAAACAAATACAATCTTCGTTCCGCTCAGAATCTAAGCGATTCTTATAAAGTACCTACTATATTTACGGTGAAATCAAATGTCGTACTTCATTTTGTATTATTATCATTTATCAAGCTTCGAGTTCGCTAAACTTACATTTAAAGCAGTTTACGATTTACAATGATACATTTGAGTTTCTATATCGAAATGAAAAGCTCAAAGAAACCGAAGACGGTGAATTAATAAATTATCGTAAAGATCTTCATATTTATCTGATGGGTGGCAAGTACAAATATATTGACGGAAATTAGTTATAACATTAACTACTGAAATTTAAATTTCTCGTGAAAGAAAATACAATTGAATTTCGATTTCTGTCTATATAGGTACTAATCATATTAAATTGCTCATTACCAATCATAACTATTTCTCTTCGAGTAATATCAGTCGGCTTCTATTGAAAGATTGTCCTCGGAATTAGAATTAATAAAAAGTTATCCTAGGTGTGCCACGTCACAAACCAGACAGACTNCTACTGAAATTTAAATTTCTCGTGAAAGAAAATACAATTGAACTTCGATTTCTGTCTATATAGGTACTAAACATATTAAATTGCTCATTACCAATTATAATTATTTCTCTTCGAGTAATATCGGTCGGTTTCTATTGAAAGATTGTCCTCGGAATTAGAATTAATAAAAAGTTATCCTAGGTGTGCCACGTCACAAACCAGACAGACTGGACTTGAAACATTATCAATGGAAAAAGATATGGCTGAAGTCGTTAAATATGATTTGATATTATAGACGATTTCGGAAATGAAAAAACAAAACAAAAATCTGTTTAATTTATTTATTGGATATTGTATAAACTTTTTATCTAATTAGTAGCTCCGAAATATATTGAAAAGTATATTATGAATAATTTGTATGATGGATTATTTTATTTATTAGTGTATCCAAGCGATTTCGGTTTTCCTAAATAGTATAAAATATATTACACCTCTGTTAAATATGTTATTTTATAATAGACTGCTGAAAAAGATATTAGAATCGGTGCTCTCATTTGTGAATACAATAAGGAGACGAAAATATCAAAAGGCCACCGAAATGACGGTCCTCCCCTGTACAGTGAATGAATCCGGCCGGGGTTTCGTACCGATCGCCAATCAATTTAAACGCACTCATTATTTTCGGGGCCTCGATTTTTTCCGAGTCTTGTCGAGGACCTTGTCGATACGTCTAAAATAATTATATATCGGAAGAAATAAAATATTAAAGCCACGGGTGACTTGCTTACCGGACGCTTGTAATATTGTTTTTGACGACTCCGATCGGTATGTTTATAGCACTTGAAAAACGTTCACCGATACAGCCGGCCATAAACGTACCGAAGTGCCAATACAATTCGTTCGAATTGTTCGCGTCACAACAATACTTCACGTTTATACCGTCGGTACCGCGGAACTTAAGGATTGACCGCGTCGCGTCACCACTGATTCCGAATAGAACCGAATTCGCAAGGCCCTAACACAATAGCGGAAACATCATCTCTGCGAAACCCTGCAATCTGTTTAAAAAAAAAAAAAAAAAAAAAAGGTAAGCAGAATATTAGTTATTAAATTTTGCTAAAACTATAATCCAACAACTTCCAGTATGCTAATGATAATAGTAATTATAACTATGTCTAGTCAATTTTCATTTGTTACCTTTTGTACGTTGTAAACGTATTGCGTAGACTGGATGGGCCCAATGTCGGTCACTTGTCGTACGACTCTAATCGTATCCGTCGGATAGCCAACAAACGTAGTGACAAAATTCCCATAAACAGAAATATGAATCCGATAAATTACGGGTTTGTTGTTCGCTAATTCGAATTATGGTCTAACCCACCGTCCAATCCAGGTACGAAATCGTACGTCGGAAATATTCTGTTTCCAGGATCGATTAAATTCTCCGGCGTATCTGACAAGATTTTCCGGTAAACCGGTTTCGACAATTCTTCACTAAAACCGAAATATTGAAGTGACCGGCATAATTTTGATTAGTGCGGACCATAATCTCGTGTAAAATCCACGAAATCCCGCTTTTTGGATTTCTTTACGCATCAACGGCCGCCGGGTTTGTGTTTCGGACATTTGGACACGCGATTTAACCACGTCCATCGGGTATGCTACGAGCCGCGTCCCTAGGCCAGCTATTGATCCGGACGTCACCGGGGTCGACAGATCAGATTTTTCTTTTCGTTCACCAGTTGGATTCAAAAATTTCTGACACCGTTCATACAATCCGAAGAACAACGTTTTACAAACGAACTCTCTTAATAATGCGCACTGCAGTCCACGGTATGGACCTCTGAGTCCGTCGGCCTTCAGTGTTTGTTTTACCGCCGGCTTTACCAATGGAAGGTTTGGACGTACTTCTCTGAAGCAATCGTATCCTTGCTTTCAAATTTTTACTAACTCGACGCAGTAAAGTACCGGCGAGGTAAATAGCTGGAAGGGTGTAATTAATTTTTGTGCGACGAAAATAGATATATTCGCATTTCATCGCATATGTATAGAGGCAGTTACTTCTTATAAAAAAAAAAAAAAATGTATAATTTTTATTATAGTAACAATTTTTATCATATCGCAATTATTTACATTTTCCTGTGTATAAATTAACGACTTATTTTTTTTAACTATAAGTATTCAACGAACGACGTTTATACTAACCGATTAAATACTTCTGGCAAACATAATATTGTGGTTTTTGACCCGCTCGACAACGTATGTCGCCAAACTTCGGCAATGGCCGTACGAACCGACCATGACCGCGTTTTCAGCAGAGTTCGCCAACAGAGCCGGCACACAAACGACATACAGTCCTCGGATGCCCCGTCCTCGGCCAGTCATGTACAACGAAGAGAACATGTTTTTATATAAATTAGGATATAATTGCATGTTCGTTTTCACCATGTCCAGCGGTTGTCCGACAGAGGAAATTCCGCCGGTAATACCGTCCGGCATGTCGATTAGTTTACAAATCGTATCGAAATCGCGTTGAATGTATACGAGTATAGTAAAATATGCATCGATTACAATTATTACAATTATTACAATTATTACAATAAAGTACAGTGGAACCTCGGTAACTCGAATCAGTCTGGGGCAAAAAAAAATATTCGGGTTATCGAACATATTTAAAAATAATTATCGAGTATATTTCGGATCAACGTGTACATTTACCAATAACGTCCGAAAATAAACGTTAATATCGTAGGTTATATCGTTTTTTTTATCTTATCAAATTTAATATCGTGTCTTTTAAGCATTAAGTGAAGATTGATAACACATATACGTTCTCGGTATATTTCAACAAAAATAAAATCCATGTATCGACGTTTGTGGTCAGTTTTTAAAATATCACAGAAAAAAACCGTAGGGAATCTAGAAATGTGTATTCGAATAAAGTGCTACCGGGCAAAAATCTCCCCGTCGTTCAAGGTGCTGTCAGAAAAAATCGGAACATTTTACTGGCCAAAAAAAAACTCAGTATACCTAATACCACCGTCGTCATGCCGAGAGTATAATATTAAATGCATACCGTTTTTATACGATTCGTTAAAATGTTGGTGTTCAATTTGGTTCAACTAAGGTTCAACGAGCCATATAATATGTGGATAATAGATAAAATAGGCAACTATAGATAGCCCACTGTATGATTAAGACCCACACGAATATTACGCAGTCAGCAGTTCTATACTAAGAGCTACATTTTTTATTTAGTATATATGTATATTTACTTTATTTATTTACGAGTAGTATTAACCGTTTTAATAATTTTCTTTTTACTTTATAATTTTATTAAATAAATAAATATATATATATATCATATTATAGTCAAATTATTAGATATGAATTAAATATGTTCTCTAATAATATCTGATCAATAGTGTATCTATTTTCCTGGTAAAATCAAAAAAAAAAAAAAAATTCCCTCTTAAAGTACCACCCCAGTCAGATTTCCTTTCAGAAAAATTGTAAATCTGAGCGAAATTGTTTGTAGAAAAACAGTTTACGGAAAACGAAAAAAAAAAAAAAAGGTAGTAACGCTTTTCAACTAACACGTTCTACATTTCGTACACTTTCCCGTTTTTCACCGGTTTTTCCGATTTGTCGGGAAAATCGAAAACGGCCTACAAATATAAGCCCGAAGCCTGAGCGCCGGTCTCGGTTTCAATATCACTTTGTGCGGATGTTTTACCGCGCAGTCGCCTCGTTTCTATACGTTTAATATTTTCCCTACACACGGACAGGTCCCTATCGCTGTGCGCTCGGAAACTAAAAGAACCCGTCAGTGAGTGACATTCGCACGCCGGACGCACCGACGACGTCGGCTCTCCCTCCCCCCCCCCGCCACCGGGTGTAATTAACTTTAACTGCTTTCTCGTGTTTCGGATTGTTTACAGCGAGTGTCGCGGGGACCTTTGGCCGGGGAGGGGGGGGGCGGACAACAATAATAATATTACGACGGCGACAGTTGACGGGCAAAACGCGCGGCGCGGCAACAACAATAAGGGTAACGACAGTAATAATAACAATAATAATAATAATAATCGTTTTCGTGTACGGGGAAACGGCCGCCGTCGATTAGAATGATTAGTATCGATTCAATCCGACGATCTGTACCGATACGGCACACATATACTCTCGTGTATTCCCGTACGCCGCGTATAAAATAACGCGTCCCGACCGACCGATTCGTCGTGGCCGCCGGGCGGATCGCGCCGAAACTCTGCGCGCGGGGACGGCCGTTACGGCGCGGGCGTACGTTTTAAGAACAGATTTTTTTTTTTTTTTTTTTTGAAAATTCCGCCCCTAAGGCGGTAAAATCACAGGGGTTTTCGCGTATATTACGCACGGACAACGGTAACCGCTTGTTTGTTTATTTTCGTTTGTTCGCGGGTCACGTCGGTGTCGCGGACGGCCATTCGGATGCCCCGGCGAAGAAAACCGTTGCAATCGCGGCCGTCGCCGTGCGCTTTCCGCCTACGCGCGTTATCGTTCGGTTCCGTAAACGAATACGGGCGAAACGGGGGTAATAACGAGAGACCCGGCGCGGACCATGCCGGCCGCGGGACGGCCGACACAACACACGAGAAGAGTGGGTGGGGGCGGTCGGCATTTCGGCAAAGCGCGTCCCGGGGCCGCGGCGCGCGCGTATAAATTAACGTTTTTCGGTTGACCGGTTAAAGTGCGGCGCGCGCGGTCCGCGTCGCGTCCAGGCCGCCCGCCGGGACAGATGCGTGCCGGAATACGTTCCCGTGTGTTATTATCGGCGGCGGCGGCGGCGGCGCTCGATTTAATTTCGGTTGGAAACCGTCACGATCGTCGGTGAGGGGCGAGGGGGTGGGGCACCGAAACCCACTGACAGCGTTGTCAAAGTGTCAGCCAGACGGACGGGCGGTCGCGTCTAAATACGGGCGAAATACTATTGTGTACGATTGTTACGTATCCGAGCCGCGTACTCTCGCGTTTCTTTTTCCGCCCTCTCGTTTCCCTATACACGCGCGCGCGCACACACACACACACACATATATACTTATACGTATACGTATACGCGCGGTCTCTGTTTATTAAAACTCGTCGTATTAGTGTGTGCGGGGCGTGTGTGTGCGCGATGTGTGTGATTTTGTGATTTATAGCTTTCGGCGAGCGACTCCGCGGTAATGGAATTCCGGTTACGGTCGGCGGCGGCGAGTATTTTTAAAAGACGTCTCGAGTCGCACGTTTTCGGGGCCGAAAACGGCGGAAACCGTCACGCGTTTACGTTTTCTGATTTTTTTTTTTTCTTTCACCCCGATCCGAAAACGAGCCGCTAATTTGACAATAGCTGTATTAGAGTAGTCCCCGGCCGGGCACGGGGGCGACGCGTATATTTCGGGAACGGACCGAACGAGACCGCCGGCGGAATCGCGGGTAACCAGGGTGAAGAGGGGGCGCCGTGGCGCGGGAGGGTTGGTGGTTGGTCGGGGCGGAGGCGACTCCGGCGCCGCGTCATACGGAGCATACCGCGAGCGCGCCCGTCTGATTCCCCCGTTTCGCTCGCGCCGGTTTAAATCAATTTTAAATCGATTTGGCAACGATTGTTTGAAATTATACAATATTGTAATATTTCAATAAAAAAAAAAAAAACATTTTTTCAGTCAGTTCGCGAAAATGATTAAATTATATTTTTGAAAAAAGAAAATAATTTAAATTTGGCCTGTACAATATTCATAAAACTTGACCTCTGTAAAACGTTTATATAATAACTAGGGCTGGGATTTCGATGCACTTAGCGTTTTCTCACTCTCTCCCAAAGGTTGCTGCGCAATACTCGTTCGGTCTCAAATCTATATACCATGTACTTTTAAATGTGAATAAAAAAAGTTTATTTTGCATCTTTTAGTGATTTTTGAACATGTTTAGTTTTTAATTTTTTAGGACATTTTTAGAGCTTTTGGATACAAAATATGAATTTCATATTTTATATTAAGATTTTTACACACAGACAATGTTATTTGAACGAATTCTTTGCCTTCTAATTGTTTTCACGCCTATTTTCTGGAAATTAAAACGACAAAAATTAAAAAAACTATTAATGTAATACGAACGAATGTCACAGCCCGGCCAGGTACGGGCGACGCGTGTTTCGGGAACGAACCGAACAAAACCGATGGCGGTTGTGATTACGATCCATCAAAACGTTTAGAATAATATTTTTTTACAAAATGGCTATTTTGAACGTTTTCCAAAGTGAATAGATAAATTAGTAATTTTTTTGTTTTATGCTCGGGGGGGATGAAAATAAGAAATTGATTTTTCTCTATATCGATATAATTGTACCGTCCGAAACTACGCGGGTATTATTTGGTTAAACGGGGAAAAAACTAGCGTAAACTCGAGCGTAAAATATATTTGTACGCGTAAAAAAAAAAAAAACCCGGCCGACGCTGCTGACGTGATACTACCGCTCGGTTGTGGCCGGGGCACCGGACACGCGTAACGGTAAAACGTGCACGAAATATTAAACGGTAAATACTCGAACGTAATGCACTTTAATACGCGGCAAACGGCGGCGGCCGTTGTATTTCGTGCGGCGGGCGTTCCCGGTCGGTCGGGTAGAACTACAAACGGAGTATAAACATTCGGGATAATACACGCTTATAGTAACGCTACGCGCACGTCGATCGATTCGTTGTATTTTATTTTCACGCGTACGTTTTCATTCGTGCATACGTTTATTTGCTCTGTCTGTTTATCTATCGAAATATTATACGGGACCCGATTGCGCGCGTTCATCATTTACGCGCGGAATTACTCGGAACGATTTTTGCGAAATAAAAAATATTTATTTTATTCAAAAACCGAATACAATTGATTTTTGTGCAGTTGTGTCAGCGTATAAGTATACACGCGGATTAGCGGAAACATTAAACTTTAAACTTTAAAAGGTGGACGGGCCAAGGGGTCAGGACAGTCGATGTAGTCATTTAATAGCCTATAAATAAAAATGTACGTCGAGTCGAAGGATTCAAGACTTAAGTAAGCAAATAAATGATCGTAAGTTTTACGCGGGGAGTTCTGGGTACGTTACATTTGACAGCTAAAAAGCGCAAAATCTTGCTTCGAACTTTCACAATAGTAGACGTTAAACTTGTCGACAACGCAACATTGTCAACCGAACTCCGCTCAGACATTTTTTTCCGCTGTTTTTCGTTAACAACGGTTTATCGTCGATTACATTAAATTTTCCCTCTATTACCTGGCCGACTTCTCGCTTGTAACAGTGGCGCGCCCGTCAACAGTGTCGGCTTTTTCATATTTTACTCTCGAGTTGTTTTTTACGTCGTGTTATTCGCAAGTTAAACAGAAACGAACTGTAGAATATCATAACGGATTATTAGTTGAGTTATGTTATTCACGTGAATCGTATTTTTCAAAGGCTTCGCGGGTACGAATTCGGGTTACTGCCGTCGCTACCC